TGTTATGTAACTATTAAATATTGCTGGAAGTGGAAGGAATAAGTTAATATTTCATATTAGGTATTATCCATAGTTGATAATTCATGAAGTAGAGATATTACCTGGAGTTGTAAAGTTAACCACTGGAAGAGACAAAAACAAATAGTTAAATGAGTAAGCCCAGGGATGTGCAGTGATAGGGCCCAATCCATCACTCTCCATCAGAAACACCTCTGTAAAATTTGGATTGTTGCATATTGTAATTTGATACAAGTGAAAACCTAGAAAAAAAGAATACTTAAACTTGAAATAGTTACTCATATTAAATAGGAAAATAATATTGTGTATATCTAAATGAATTTTAAAAGGGTGTGGGTGAAAAACTGGTTACAAAAATACAGTGGAGAATTAAAATGTACTCAGAGAGGTTAACATTTGAATAGATGCTTATAGTATCTATTAGTAAATACTGAAACACTGCTCACTCTTGGAAAGTTCTACTTTATTTCAGATCAAAACTCCAAAACTACTATTTCTGATCATTTAGTTTAATTCTAACCTTGTTGTTTTTTTTTGTGTTTTTTTTTTTAAGTAGAAAAGGTTGTAGTTTTATATAGAATGATATAGGACATATGGTATAGTCCTTATATAGGGTAATTTAACAGCCAGATATTTGGCAGAAGAATAATTAGTTATCCTTCGAGCAAAAAAAATTTTTTAGATAAAACTTCCCAGAAATGCAATGTAGCAAGATGGAAAATATTTATGTTTTAGAGTCTGAAACTGAATGTTAAATTTAATCTTTTGAGCCATGTGAATTTGGGAACTATTTTGTGATTTGCTTTACTCCTCTAAAAAAAATGAATCCCTTTCCAATCATTTATTGAGCATCTAACATAGAATAAGGAAAATATCTTATTCGATTCTCATAGTATCTTTAAAAGCTGAAAATTATTTTCCACACAATTTTTTCACCTCTCCAATATTGTGTTATTCTCAGAAAAAAAGATGATATAAATTGTAAAAATACAATGAGTTTTTCTCCTCTCTTTCCATTTCCCAGGATTTTGGAAAAATGCATATATTAAAATAGAAAAGCCACTGGTTTTTTTTGTCTCTTTACTTTGGATCTGTAGAGTTACCAGACACAAAAATAAAATGGCAATATAAATACATCTAGGATTTAGATGTACTGGAAATGTCCAGAGCCTGCAGGCCTGTGGCCACAGATTGAATTACCTGTCATAAAACCCTAGAGCTGTGTTTCTGTACCCAGTTCACATTTGCAGTACTAATAATGCCTTCAGCACAAGTCAATTCCAGGGAATTAGTCATTGCAGTCAGTGGGTTAAATCCCCATGAAGTAGCCCTGCAGGTGACCCAGTAGCATTGACCTTAAGTATGGAATTTCAGATCAATAACTGTGGTACTTGCATTCTGAAATGTAAAACAATCTCTAGTGTTTTTGTTATCCCAATGGGTGTTATCAGACAAGGGATCACTATGGGGCAATTGCAGGTTCTTATCATATTAATGTTTGTTTTCCGTTAAAAAGAAAACTATTTAAAAAAGTAAATGCCTTCTGTTCTCTTTTCTTGCAATATGTAATGATGACTTTCAAACATATAATGAAAATTAACAGTAATTCAAATAGCATCAGCAGTCATTAATTGCTTATACATGAAATAAAATTTCTTCCTCAGAGGTAAAGCATTCCAGATGGACGTAAAATTCCTTTGGTCTATTCACCTTTTAACTGTCATAAAAGGATAACAGATCTCTCGATTTAAAAATGTTAAGCCTCCTCAAACTGGGCTTGCGGGCAGTGAGAGAGAAAAGGGAAATAATGTTATAGATCCATGGATTGTGACATTGACTGGCATGATGTTCTGCTAGTGTTTTAACCAAAGAACAGAAACCACTTCAACTATACCAATGGAATGAATTATCTTGATGCAGGGAACTGGGTATCCTTTAATGAAGAAGCTTATAGTCAAATAAAGAAGAGGGAAGAAACCAAAACCCTAGCCATTGCAGGAAGCCACTACCAGGCTGGAAAAGAGGAAGATCCACATCACCAGACAGAAGCTGGAAGCACAGAGGGTCTGTCCACCCAAGCTGAAGCCATGGAGGAGATGGATCCTCAGGTAGAGAAGCCAACCAAGGCAGAGGGTGGGGATAAACTCATAAACTGGCTGGCCTTTTCTCCCCACCACCCCTTGCTACTGACTGCTGGTGGCTTCTAAGAGCTACGGGAGAGTTGGCTAAGGTCAAGCTTCCGATGGCATAGAGTGCAAAAGTGGAGGGTGAGAAGAGCCAAAGCAACTCAGCGCCAGCATATACGGTCATCTCCCCTGTGAATTTATCTTACCTGGGCGATTCCTGGTTTATTCCTTTTATAAAAAGCTAAGAATTCATGGACAGGTAGAGAGCAGATATCTTACTGTACAGATTTTACAAGGGGCAGTGAAAGCTCTGATAAAGCTCAGCACACTTCTAGGACTAGATAAATATTACTATCTTTAAATTTATATTTTGAATTATTTTTTTACTCATTCGGTGCACAATGGGATCAAAGTACTTCCTCTGGTGTGGTTTTACCATTGCTAAGGACCTAGGTGGCTAGTCTCTTATTTCTTGAGTATATTTCAATATGAATTATGACCTAGAGCTGAGTTTATAATACAAAAACTAACTTCAAGATTATCCCAATATATAGGTTAGTAAGCCAAAGCCTCCACCCAGCATCATAACATATTTCTCACACATATTACCCTGTTGGTTAGTCCCTCCATTTTACATGTTAGGTACTATCTTGCGTTAGGTAAGACAAGGTTGCTCAAATTGAATCTCCTTCCTTAATTAATGAAGGAAATGTTGCCTTTCTCTGCACTTATGTGATATATTACATTTTTATTATATATCATCAGAGAGGAAGGGAGAGAAAGAGAGAGATAGAAACATCAATGAGAGAGAATCACAGATCAGTTGCCTCCTGCACACCCGCTACTGAGGATTGAGCCCACAACCTGGGCATGTACCCTTGACTGGAATCGAACCTGGGCAGGACTCTTCAGTTTGCAGCTGACATTCAATCCACTGAGCAAGCCAGCTAGGGCACAATGTCTTACATTTTTTAAAGGATTTTCCCTTAAGCAACATTCCATTTGTTCTCACCATCACCCACCTTATCGGTGCTGGCAATAGCCATAGTCAAGACAGCCCGCTTCCCATCTGAACATTGCCTTGTTCTGACCATGCCAGGTTTGACCTGAGTCCTAGAATAGTGCAGAGGTGGTATTGGTCTTTCTGAAAATTCAAATAACAACCCCCCCCCCCAACCTGGGTTCTGAGGGCCTGCATCCCATGAATCAGGTAAACTTAGGGGACCTTCACTGATGGGTATCCTACACCATAGCCTCAAATCAGCACCTACACAAGTCTGTTTCCAAATAAGATCATCTTCACTTAAAAAGTATGGAAACCATGGTGTGACATTCTTATGACTTCTTTAAATATGTCTAATTAGAGATAGCTGCCCCAATACAAGTCTCTCCAGTTTCCTACCAGAACACTATCCTATAGTTGGGAGCCATATCCATGCTGGTGTGATCCAAGACAGAATATCAGAATCAGCTGCAATGGAAACGCATGCTTGTTTATTTGCCCTTTATTCCTCCTGGTAAGTTAAGAGAGCCTGGGAACTACAAACTACTGCTTTCCTCCAGAAGCAGAAGTGCATGAAATGAAATGTCAGGACAGGAGATAAGAGCTCCAGCCTCACCTCAAAGCCCATAGTTAGAGCATGGCGACTAGATTCAACAGCAACAACAACACAATCCGATTGTGAGCAGGCAACAAGAGAAAGAATTGGGGAGAGAAAACTCTGCTTTATTCCTTTTGATATCATTTTGCCACAGCTTTTTTTGTGAAATAATAATAATAATAAAACAAAATAAAAGGGCATATTGAGGGGCTGTTCTGTAACATGGGCTCCCCGAGTCCCCACTCCCACTAATGGGAACACAGCATACACCGCCAGCCAAGATCAGACCTCCTAAGTAGAGCATATTTTTTCTTGCAGATTTTTCTTGTTTGGACTTTAATTAAGCTCCTGCCAGGCTTGCAAGCTTTTTAATTTTACCTTCCTTTCTTCTTTCATTTTCCTCCTTGAATCAGTCTACTTGCCAAGGAACTTTTCCCAAGCTGTCACAATTGTAGTAAGTGTATGCTAAGAGATTACATTTAGAGATGAACTAGTAGCTGCTTCTCTAAGAATCAATAGCAGACGTTTCCTTGTATTTGGATTTTCACTCATTCATTCATTCATTCACTCACTCACTCTTAAGTGTGTGTGTTTCACAGATGGGAAATAATAGAAAAGGAAGCTTCTCAGAGTGTACAATGATAACTGGCTAGTTGAGTGATATAACTCAACCTCCTACAAAGTCTCCGGATTAGTAGAAGAAACTTGCCATGACTTAATTTAGCACTCACACTGCTCATAAGCAAACAGTAGCTATTTACCAATGTTGGTGGGTGAAAGGCGAGTGCGTGAGGAGAAAGCAGTGCCTCTGTCGTTGATTTAACGCTTCTTTATGAAATGTAATATGGAATGCACCTAGGTTCTTTTTAAAGATCCCATTTGTACACAGTTTTACTCATTGCAATTCTGAAAGTCTAAAGGAAGGGGTTGGGGTGCCAATGATGACCCCTTCAAAGCAGAGTCTATGGGAAGCTATTTTCCTTAGAGGAGGCTTGGTGGAAAATTGGTTGCCCTAAATAGAATGCCTTTTTTATTATTATTATTATTAAAAAAACAAACAAACACGCAGATAATATTACAGGGCCAGAAATAAAAATAAGCCATCAAAAGCACAAACACAAAACTGAAAGGTGTGGAGCATTCATGGGGGATATTATTATCTCCATGACTGCTATTATCGTCTTTCTTATTTTTTTACTTAATAATGCCACGCTGCCAGCTCGCGCCGCCAGCCGCGCTGTGCTCGGGTACTTACTGATCGCCTCCACAAACCGCTCAAAGAAGCTGAAGGGGAAGAGCGGCTCAGGCAGCTCCCGGAAAAACATCTTCAGTGCTCCGGTGACAACGTGGATGTCCTCCCACTGGCTGTCGTCCAAATTCAGCTTCTCTTCTGGGAAAACACGAGGAGAAATGGAACAACTGGTTTTAATGAAACAATTACAAGACACTAATTATTATGTTAATGTTTGCCTACTATCATCAGCAACCGTTAACAGCCTTCTGCACCTAGAGGTTTGGTGCTGTGCATTTTTTTTTTTTCTTTCTCCTTTTTTTTCTGTAGGAAGGGAACATTTTCAATGGAATACCATCTGTAGGAATGCAGCTAACAAAAAAACAAGACACACAAAGAGACAGTGCCATTGACACAGTATGTCAGATACATTTATTCCCATAATGCAGCAGTATGAAAATTAGCATCACAGCTCAACGTGATTCAAAGCTATTTGGGTTTGAGGCCGAGGGGCTAAGAGTTGCCAACGATGGCCGGCTCAAGGGACCGGCCTAAAGGCCTTGCTGAGCCAACAGGAGACATATGCTAAACATGGCAATAGAAAATGAGTTATTGCTTTACATGTGTTAGCCTTGCTATGTACAAGGGAATAATGGCTAACCCTTCTCTCTCTCCCTCTCTCTCTCTCTAAAGTCAGCAAGGAATAGAATACTGAGTGAGAAAGGATATTAATTCCTTCTTATTGCTTCAAAAATATCTCTTTTTTTAGTTCTCATCTCATCGAGGAAAATGTGCCCAGCAACAATATCAGACAGACCCCTGTTGGCCTGCGCAGGCTATGCAAAGCTGTCAGAAACGATAACACACTAAAGACAAACCACAAGTGCTTACCAACTCCTCTCAGAAACAACGGAAATGCTTGCTTGGGAAGCCTGAGTGAGTTGAAACATTTAAATATTCAAGACAATAAATGCCAAAATGAAGTTTTTAGAGTAAATAAAGGGATGCCAGGTTATTATTTTTTTTCCCTTTTGCCCTCAATATGAAAGCCTGGAATCATTTTCATCCAAGAAGTGATAGACTAGGGTTTGAAAACAACATCCTCACATACAGCTAAAAGGACGCAGGCACAAAAGCATTGCAGTTGATCCATAGTATTTATCTTTCCAAACATGCGACATGGAAAAGGTTTTGGATTCTGGGCTTAATGAAAACTAAAGCTAATCATTTTAAACAACCTGAGGGTTCATGACAAAGCTGAATATCCTGGCAAGAACTTAGCAGGTATTTGGTCAACTGGAATTTTGTTTCTTTACCAATGTCTTAGGCTCACATGCACATGCCCTCTTGGTATCAGCTTTTCAATGCAGGGAAGAATATGCACTGAAATTATTAAAAAAAAAAAAAAAAAAAAAAAAAAAAGCTGAAAATTGTCACTGTAGGGAATCTCTGCATGAGCTGTTTTGCTAATACTGTTCATGTCCTTTTAAAAATATTAGCTGAAATCCTTATCAGATCTTTTTTCTAAATGGACTATTATTTTATTATTTCCAGGGCTAGGAAGTGATGTTCCTGCTCACTAGGATGCTTGCAGTGAGAAGGAGTGAAGGTGGATATGTGTATTTCAGACAGGCTAATTTTTTTCTTTTCAGTCTCCATTCCTACCTCACTCATAATAATACGATCCACAACAAAGTCAGCAGAGGAGACCTTCCTTCTGTCCTGCAATCATTTTTGATTGATTGTATTTCAACAATTAGTCTTTTATTTGGCTACACACTATTGAAATAGGACGACAGCATCTTAGCAGGCCAGCTTTAAACAGTCAACTGTTAACAATAGCATCAAAAAGGGAGACCTGATGGGGTTTACTGTCACTTTAAAGAACGGGGTTTTCACATTGTTGAAATCTGTCAGATATTTTGAAATGTCCCTCTCACTATGGTGCCACACCCCCTGCGTGCCCTTATAATAAAATTGGTTTTACTCCTGATTAAATCATTTTCTCCCTACCCACCACCATACTTCTCATAATGGACCTGTGCGCTCTACAGCTGGTGTTCTTCCCATGGTACCAATTCTTACTTTATCTTTTAAGCACTTTGCTGCTAAGATCTCATGCAGAGTGCTTATGTTTTGTTAAGAGCTTCATTCTTAGAGAAATAGCTTAACACATGTTCTAAAAATGTTGTACAACTTATTGCTTAAAACACATTTAGAAAATGTATAAGTGCTCTAGCTTTGGCACTGAGCTTTAAGTGGAAACCTAAACACACACATGCACATGCTCACACACACATAACTATCTCTACCAAAAATTTATCAGAAAAGTCCAACATAACATGCCATTTTGATAACATAGGTCTGAGATTGTCAAAGGAAAGTGTTCAGGTAAAAAAAGAGAATGATTTCATGTTGAGTAAGAAAACAAGAACAAATAATTGTGACTAAAGGCAACAGCCTTTGATATTAGTTATGCTCACATGAAGTCAGTTAATTCAAATGACTGTGAAAATTAGAACATTATAATACATTAAAATTTGCCAATCAATATATACCATTTGATTATGCTCACTTGAAATGCCATGTAATATCAATACCAACTTGTGTTGTATAAACCTGCATTCCTACTCTAGATAGCTATTGTAGTCTTCATTCAAAGAAAAACAATAATTTGTACCACTTCAACAAGTAGCTTAAAGAAATAATATGGCATGTAGTGAAATATAATACCTAATTTTAATATTAAATTATTATAAACCAGTGAGTTTTAAGGTATATTTTTCAAGGCCACTGTGACTTATCAAAGCATACAGCTTTGTCCATATTCAGATGTCTTCTCATGAATCCAGCCAGTTTTCAAGATGAACAACTGTAAGTCTTTCAGTGTTAACAGGTATCATTCTAAATACATTCATATTATTTGATAGGCATTTTCTAATGAAACTGCTAGCAGTGAAGACATCTTATACTTCTGCTCTTTCCAGAAGAGCAGGGTTCCAAAACAGTGATGCACTGTTGACCTGAGGGTTGGATAATTCAGGATTGAGAGGCTGTCCTGCATTCTTAGATGTTTAGTAGCATCTGTGGCCTCAGTAAGACTTTCCAGTGATGATTTTGGAAAAATATTTTATCATTTAAAGTTATTCCCAGTTGAGGACCATTACAATGAGCCTGTAAAAGCATGTAGAACTTACTCAACAAATATTGATTTATGAAGTTTACCTTAGGTAGGCAGAGAACTAGAACACTAGATACACATAATAAAATTTCTTTAATATGGCCTTAAGAATTGCTCATTTTTATTGAAAAAAAATCTAAATCTTTTAGAGAACAAATTTATAAAACTACATTTCAGGATCCTATGCTACTAAAAACAATAAACAACAATTACTTAGTGCTTACATTCTGGTAGGGACTATGCTATGAACTTTACTCTCCTTATCTAATATATTTTTTTTTCAATAAGAAAGTGAGAACTATTATATTATTATCATCATCTTTATTTCACAGATAGGGAAAAATGAGACATGGGTAGATTTAGTAACTTTTCCATGGCTGACAAGAATGAATCCAGGATAAGGAACCAGTAAGCCCCTGCCTAAAAACCACTATGTTCAGATTTAAACTTGGCAGCAGAAGCTGAAAGGGAAAAGGTAACTAAGTATAATAGTATCTGCAAGCAGTAATAGATATATGATTACATCACAGATAGTGACTTTTAGATTTGTATCCTTGAATGTCTTACTTGAGGCTATGCTTTTACTATAAATTGACTCTTCCTTTTTTGAAATAGTTTTATTGATTTTTAGATAGAGAGGAAAGGAGTGGGAGTGAGAGATAGAAATATCAATGATGAGAGACATACATCTGTGTTGGTTTCTCCTGACTTTCATTTAGACTCTTTTCAATGTATTTGTCATGGCTTTTGGTTTAAAGCATTTAAACAGAATTGAAGATGAGTAAAACTCCTGAATCCAAATACTATGTGAGTTTTATTAGATTACAAAAAATATACTTAAATGTTGTATCCAAACAAGGCTGTCTTGAAATGCTCTTTCTTGAAGGGCCTTTTGTATATTTATTTTTTAAGTAAAATTTATTTACATCAAGCTAAAAACAATTATATGAGAAAGAAAAAAAAATGACAGTAGCTATTGGGAATAATCTTTCTTAAAAAGGAGAACTGAAAGATGGACCTTTGATAGTCACAGTAGGTCGCGGTAGTTTCCAAGGAAAATGACACAACTAAATATCACTACTCAATTCTTTGTTATAAAGGGTTGCCCTCTATACTGTAGGATGTTTAGCAGCTTTCCTGGCCTCTATCCATCAGATTCTAGCAGCAACTTCCTCCCATGTTACAACTCCTTCCCCAAAATAAATTAAATGGAATAAATAAATATCACCAATAGCTTAATTGCCACTTTCCTCTTATATTTCTTACTAGTGGCTCTGTGCATGAAATTCATGCACATTAAAAGGGGATTAATTATAGGAAATATTTTTTAATATATTTTATTGATTTTCCATAGAGAGGAAGGGAGGAGATAGTTAGAAACATCAATGAGAAACATCGATCAGCTGCCTCCTGCACATCCCCCACTGGGGATGTGCCCACAACCAAGGCACATGCCCTTGACCGGAATCGAACCTGGGACCCTTCAGTCTGCAGGCTGATGCTCTATCCACTAAGCCAAACCAGTTTCGGCTATAGGAAATATTTTAATATTGCTATTTGCCCTTTCTCTATAATAGAAGTGTCAGTGGTGAATGAAAATTAGTAAAATGTATATGAAAATTTTCCTCCTGACAGAGTTTGGGGCATGCCATGAGACCTAGAGTCAAGTCCCTGCCCATCCGCAGTGCCTAAAAATCACATAAGACCCAGACTCACCCGGCCCCACCTCCATTGGGTAAGATCCAGACCTGGCCGACACAACCCCCATCAAGCCCTGCCAGGTGGGAGGTGCAGTCTGAAGTTCCCTGTCAAGCCCTACCAGGTAAGGGGGTGCAGGCTCAGGTCCCCTGCCCCAACCCAGCCCAGAGCCAGACAGCCTCAGGTCCCTGCTGATTGTTTCTTAAGGTTCGTTATAGGAACTCAACCTTCACTGTGGGTGCAGCCATCTTGTGTTGCAGAAACCCTACCTCTGCTATGG